GGAGAATTCAGACCTGGCAAATTTTGCACCGGTCAAGTCCTCGCACTAACAGAACACATTGAAGAGGGTTTTGAAGATAAACTTATAACAGGGGCTGCTTTCCTAGATTTGATAGCAGCCAATGACACAGTAAGGCACAAAACATTGCTTCGCAAATTATACGACACTCTCAATGACCACCATCTGGGTAAGGTCACATATTCATTACTGCAAAACATACGTTTTTTCGTTATGCTGGAGAGTAAAGTAAGTAGGTGGAGAGTCCAAAAAAACGAACTCCCACAGGAAAGTGTTTTAGCACCAATGCTCTTCAATATATTCAAAAATGACCAACCTACGCCGACCGAAATGCACTTTCTCTATGCTGACAATCTTGCAATATGTTTTTAAGGAAATAGTTTTGAATAAGTGGAGGAGAAACTCTAAACTGCCTTAAAAACAATGACAGCTTACCTGCAGAATTCCTGCGACCCAATCCCTCTAAAAACCAAGTCTGCTCTTTCCACCTTTGTGCAAAGAAAGCCAAGCGAAAACTCCAAATTGCGTGGAATGGTAATACATTAGAACACACAAATCAATTTATATATCTTGAAGTTACTCTGGACCGGCCCTTCACCTACAGACAACGTTGAATAAAAAGGAGAGAGAAAATAACAATTGGATACAGCATACTATGAAAGCTAACGGGAAGTAAATAGGGTGCACGTCCTGGTGTTTTAAGAACAACAGCACAGGCACTATGTTTTCCAACTGGTGAATATGCGTGCCCCCTTTGGAGCAGATCTGCCTACACCAAACAAGTTGATACTGCGCTAAATGAGACATGCAGGATAGTAACGGGGTGCATGAAACCAACGCTACTCTCAAATCTAAATAAAGCAGCGGGTTTTGCAGGACCCTCAAGACGCAAAGGCGTTACAGAGCACATACACAAAATTAAACAGATCGCGAAGGAGCGGCATGCCCTATACAAAGCTCGAACACCACGAAAGCTAATAAAATCCAGAAAAAGCTTCCTTAGAACAGTGCAGGATAATCCGCCTGAGTATTTTTCTCTTTCCCAGGTTTAATGGACCGGCCAGTCCCTGGACTTTAAAACGTGGAAAACTGTGAACAGGATAAGAACGGGGGTTGCTCCAAGAAAATCAAACCTGGCAAAGTGGGAAAAAATCGATCAAAATTATATGAACTGTAACTGTGGAGAAACACATAATATGGAACATCTTCTTACATGCAGTAACTGTCCTCATCGATGCACCCTCGAAGATTTGTAGCTCGCCAACAAAGATGGAACCGACGTAGCTCGATACTGGGCCGAAATTTTATGAATGACCGGACACGATAAAGTAAAGTAAGTAAGCCAAAAAAAACTGATCCCGGATTTGACAAACTTTACCAAGTGCGACTTCTATTGGCCAAACTCATGGAAACGTTTCTTGCAGCACTCAATCCACATGAGTTTCAAGCGATTAATGAGTCTATGATACAATTCGCGGTACATGCCCAATAAACCTATAAAAGGTGGCTACAAAGTATGGGTTAGATTAGATTCAAGCGGATTCATGTGCAAGTTCCAGATATATACCGGTAAAGGGGGAAATTCCACCGAAAAAACTTAGGACAACGAGTCGTACAGGATCTAACAAGGGTCTTAGTAAATAAACATCACCGAGTGTTCTTTGACAACTATATTAACTGTAATGATCTTCAGAAATCTTTATTGTCGGACAGAATTTACACAAGTGGAACCGTTAAAAAAAAGAAATTATTTATCAGAGTTCAAAACCGACAAACAAATAAATTGAAGAGATTAAGATTATTGGATTATAGATATTAAGTATATGGACCACAAAAGTGTGATTCTTCTAGCAAATCACCAAAATCTAGAAACAAACGAATTTATAAAGAGAAGACAAAAAGACGCTACTCTGAATGAGGTTTCATGTCCACAAATGATAGTGCACTACAAATGAGATATCGATGGTAAGCAGGCAAAATGTCCTATCTCGCATTTTGTCGATTTTTGTATTTTTGGTCGAAACAATTTTTAAATGTGACTATTTATCACCCCATTAAGGAATATTTGCGAAAATCGACAACATTGTCTCGTCACCTACGAATTACAATTTGGCCTATTGAAAACAGACACCATCTTGAATGCTAAATGTCCTATCTAACGTCCATTCTAATTTGCGTGAAGTGGCTGTGCACATTGTGCTAATTATTTTGATACAATCACTGTAAATGGTGACTTGTTTTACTAGAAAAAGGTATGTATTGATTTTTAAGTTCTGTGAGCATTGTATTATTTATATGGAATTGGATAAAAAGCTTATTTTAATTAAAAATAACGTTGAATTTGATACTTATGTAGATAGGACAATTTGTCAGAAAATGAATTGTTCTAGTAGGAGTCTGTTAAACGCGTCAAGTGGAGTTAGAACAATTTGTTTTTATGCATATTATAAATTGAAATCCTTTTTATAAATAAATTAGGGATGACTGCTATTATTTATATTACAGAGTGATCCAGAGAAATCATGAACCGAGGAAAGAAGTTAGTGAATATGTGTAAAATACAAAATTAGATGGAAACCTGCAATAAGTCAATGGACGCACCTTCCACTAAGGTATTATTTTTTGGCTCAGTGGACAAAAACAGTCATTTGTGACTACTCATGTGATAAAAATTGAGAAAAAGAGAAACACTGTAGATCGAAATGACTCTAGATGCAATTTTACGTTTCAGTATAGATTAAATATTGGACAAGGAGTAAAGCAAGTTTGTCGACAAATGTTTTTGAGTATGCTTTGTATCTATTAAAAAATGGTTCAGAGATGGTATCAACAAAGTTGATATAACATCCCTAGTCTCGAAGATCAGCGCAATAAACAAGTAAGTAACCGACCAGAACTAGCAAGGGAATTAAGTTCCTCCAAAAATTTTTAAATGAACTGCCTAAAATGCCGTCACACTACGCTCGAAAACATTCATCTAAACTATATTTGGAACCCATATTTCATACAATTTCTGATGTTTTTAAATTGTATCTTAGTAAATGCGAAGCTGAAAGCGTCCCGTCTATTGGCAGAAAGAAGTTTTCAGAAATAATTAGTCAACAAAATATTTCAGTTTTTCCCAATAAGAAGAACCAGTGTAACACGTGTTGTAGCTACCGAACTGGAAACATAACAAAAGAGGCATGGCATGCTCATCAAAAACGTAAACAGGACTCGAGAGATGAAATGGAAAAAGACAAACGTGAAGCTCAGTTAGGAAATCAGTTCACAATACAATTAGATTTTCAGGCCGTAAAATTAGCTCCCCTTACACACGCAAACGCGTTTTATTACAAGACCAAGCTTGCCTGCCACAAATTGACAGTATACACTTTGGCTACAAAACATGCCAGTTGCTATTGGTTTTCTGAGGATCAGAATAATCAGCTTGTTGCATCAACATTTACTACTTGTTTACTAGATTTTCTTTCAAGATATTGTGTAACAGAGAATAAAAAACCTATAACAATTTTTTTGGATGGTTGCACTGGTCAGAATCGGAATGCAGTTATGGCCAATGCCCTTTTAAATTTCAGTATGTTACATAACATAACAATACATCAGAAATTTTTAAAAGTTTAAAAGAGAAATTAAAGTTCCAAGTGATTACATATCTATCACAAAAGAAGCTAGAAAGCTTCCAAACCCATATGAGGCTATTCATTGTGATATCCGTTTTTTTAAGGAATATAGCAAAACTTAAAGATATTCTTCCATTCGTCCAGGACGAATAGTAAACGATCCAACTGTTATGGATATAAGATCTATTTTCTACAATCCGTTAAGACATATTACGGTAAAACTTCATCATACGGAATCAAATTGGACTGATCTTCCTGTAAGACCAAAAAATATCCCCACAATATCCAAATATCCTGCATTATTTACCGAACGATGTAAAATTTCCAAGGTAAAGTGGCAACATCTACAAGAACTAAAAAGTGCCATTCTATCGGACTGTCACTTTTTCTATGACAATTTGCCACATATTGTTTAGAATCATTAAAACCTTTTAAAAATTTAAGTTTATCTGTTATAAAAAGGTTATTTTATTTTAATTTGTATTATATAATCATAATGCATAGAGTCCTATGTAACAAAATATTTTATTTCAAATTGTCCTAACTGACTCACTAAATGTATAATGCAAGTAAATCAATTTTTGTTAACATTCACTTTTACGTAATAAAATTTAAGTAATTACGTATTTTTTTTATTCGTCCCTATATCAATATTTTTAAAATAAAATGATTTTTTCTTCCTCCTGTAAAACACACTTTTTGTAGATAGGACATATTGCCTGCTCAAGGTCGATATGGGATATGTTGACAAATTTGACATGCTGAAGTCTTTATGAGGTGAATCATAAATCACACAAGTGGTGGCATAGAATATTTTTATTTTGTGGATCCTTGCGTCATAAACACATTCATTCTATTTCAAATTAGAAGCTAATCCAGAAGTATGTCTTAGACAAAACTCCGGCCCTCTGTGATTAGATGCATTATTGGAGCTCCAGAACAATTAAAAAGGGCCAGCTGAGATGTGCCAACTGCAGCACGACAGCAAATGTTAGCAGAACACAGTGGAAATGTTCATCTTGCAATGTCGGATTGTAAATGTATTTGTCTTCTTCAACACGACAAAAATTGTTTTGCAACGTTCCATTTAAAACAATAAAAAAAAAATAGAAAGAAAGAAGTGCTACCTGGTTTTTATTTCACATTTAATTTTTTATTATGCTGTATTTCTGCTGATATCTTTTGAATAACATTTCCTGCAGGCTATACTTCAGCATCAGAATTGATTATTTTGACTAAATTTGTTTTAAGTATATTCTAAAATAAACAAATTTCACAAAAATCCTGTTTATTAAATATAATAAAAATCTGGCTTTAATGGGTTAATAATTAATATACTTACCTTTTTTTCTTTTTAAGATTTATGTAGTCATGTTAGAGCGCACATTTATTTAGCAGAATCTATAAAAACTAACCGTTTCATCGCAAAACAATGCAGGAATTACTTGGATTTTAAAACTGGATGTCGAGGACCTCAATCATATATGGGAGAGTTTTATATTGATAAAAAGTAAGAAATCATAAGTCCATAAAATGAATAAGTAGATTATAAAATACAAAAAAAATTCGATTACCTAAATTTTAATAAACATTTTAAATTGTTAGTTTTTCTTATATTCAGGACAATATAGATTTCTTTGATTTATATTTGACTATAGAAAATAAATTAAAGAAGACTAAAATGTTTTATAAACACATAAAAAATGAGAAGTATTTTAAAAGTGTGTAAAATATTTAATTCTTAGTTGAGCTTTTTTGATTTACAAAGCCGTCCTCAGAGGTATGGTCAAAAATAAAAAAGTACTAGTACAAAAGAGGGATCCCATTGGCGAAAAATACTTTCCTTATAAAGTTAAAAAAAAAACATCTTAAAGACACCACATTAAGTGACTTAAAAAAAATAAGCATTTTATTTGCCCAACCATATGGTTGGAGTTGAGACTACAAACAAACTGTCTGAGACAGACATTCGGTCTCAAGGTTTGGTAGCATCTATGGGATCACTCTATAGTAGTGGTACTATTTAAATTTTTGATCATAGCTCTGAGGTGGCTTTGTGAGCCAAAAGCGTTCAGATAAGAATTAAATATTGAGGGGTCCACATTGTTTTGGAAGACGTTCTGTACATGACCGTACCATCTGAGTTTTTGTATGCGAATATCGTCTACTATTGTATGTTTTACTTTGATAATTTCTCTTATTCTGTTGTTCGTTACTCTTTCTAGTCTAGATTTTTCAGATGAACGTCTCCAGCAATCAATTTCCGTTGCCTTAAGTTTTCTCTTGTATCTTTCCTTTATTTGCCATACTTCACTACTGTAGGTAGTTGTTATACTTTTAATGATTGTATTTAATATTTTTTGTTTGTTATTATTAGAAATTCATTGATCCCAAAGGATACTATTGAGACAGAGACAGCGACAGCGACAGGGACACAGACCATTTTCTTGTAAAGGCCCAGCTCAGAACCAGAATTTCAACACAAACAATAGATAAACACACAAAGATCGAACGATGGAATGTGGCGAAGCTGAAAGAAGAAAATAATCAAAGACAGTACCAAGTAGAATTAAGAAATAGGTTTCAGGTTTTGGGAATAAATGAAAATGAAAGTGAAGATATAGATCAGCGATGGAACTCAATAAAAACAACTATTACAGAAGCAGCAGAGAAATCTATCGGAAGAACGAAAAAACAAAAAAGAAAAGATAGTTCGACGACGAATGTGAAAGAACTCTAAAAGAAGCAAACAAAAGAAGAATTGATTGTCTGTCGAATCTATCAGAAGAAAAACGTATACAACTCCCCAGGGAGAGAGCCGCAGCTAGAAGAACACTTAGACAGAAAAAGAGACAATATCTGCAGCAACAAATCGAAAAAGTAGAAGGAGAACACAGACGAAATCAAAATAAAAATTTCTACAAAGAGGTAAGACAACATAAGAGAGGCTCGTATATAAGCACATCCAACTTTGTAAGAGATAAAAATGGAGAAATGCTGGCTGCCGAAAACAAAATAATAGAAAGATGGGCTGAATATTTTGAAGAGCTTCTGAATATCTAAAATTTCACTGATGAAAACAATGAAAATGGTGGAAACAACGGAGAATATGAGTATCAAACCGATGAATTAGATATACTCCCACCAAGCATGGAAGAAATTATGCATGCTATAAAAACGCTTAAAAACAATAAATCCCCTGGTCTGGACAATATTGATGCCGAGCTAATTAAAACAGGTGGTCATGAACGTGTGGTAGTATTATTGTACCAATACACAAGAAAGGAAAAAAGGAGTCATGCATAAATTACAGAGGAATCTCACTAATCAACACTACATATAAAATATTGGCTTCGATATTATCAAAAAGATTAGTACCATACGCCGAAGAAATAGTTAGTGACTACCAGTGTGGTTTCAGGCCTGGCAGATCGACTATTGATCAAATATTTACAATAAGACAAATGCTTGAAAAGTATTGGGAATATAATCACGACGTGCATCAGATTTTTATAGACTTCAAACAGGCTTATGGTTCAATTCATCGTGCAACATTATGGAAGGCAATGATCGAGCTCGGCATACCCAAGACACTAGCTGCGGTAACACAAATGTGTGTAAGTAAATCTTTTGCACAAGTTAATATAGGGGAGAAAATATCAAATGCTTTCTGCGTAAATTCTGGACTGAGACAGGGAGATTCGTTGTCCCCATTGTTGTTTAACCTGGCCTTAGAATATGTCATGCGAAAAATATATCCAAAAATCAAACCAGTAGCGTATGGAAGCGAAACATGGACAATAACAAAAAGAGAAGTAAATAAATTTCTGGTATGGGAACGTAAAATTCTTCGAATTATATATGGCCCTTGCAGAGACAGCGTGACAAATGAATGGAGGGGCAGATACAATAACGAGCTAGAGTCTCTATTCGGAAAAGAAAATCCAGTCAGATATATAAAGGCCAATAGACTCAGATGGGCAGGACATGTGATACGCAGTAACGATATTCGCCTTATAAACAATGTGTTCTGGAAAAGGCCAGATGGAAGAAGGTCTGTAGGGCGGCCTAGAAAAAGATGTAAAGATGCAGTCAGAGAAGATCTAGAGAAGATGGGAGTGCGACAATGGGAATTACTGGCACAGGACCGACAAACATGGAAGGCAATAGTAAACGCGGCAAAGACTCACGAAGAGTTGTAGCGCCATTGATGATGAAAGGATACTATTGAGAAGGAAAATTGCTTTAGTTGCTTGGTTGTTTTTCTCCTCAATTGTGTCGTCTACGTTGCCTTCTTTTGTGATGATCATACCTAAATATTTATGTGTTTCAATGTTTGATAACTTCTCCATCTTTCAACATGAAAAAGACCGTCCATTTACCGCTTATACACCCAAGATTGTGCATTTTTATCCTCTAATCGTAAGATTTATTTTTATCAGTCTCTCGTTTATGACCTCCCAATTAGTTATGTATTTCCTTAGCTTCTTATGTATTAGTAGACAACACCTAGTTGAGCTCTTTTCTTCTCCTTTTATACGCCGCTGTAGAAGTGATCATATTTTCTGATGTTTTCTGAACCTTGGCCCTTTCGTTTTGTTTCGGTGATCACTGTGATATCCAATTTCAGCTTACTCATTTCATACATTGCTTCATTTATTTCAGGTCGAAAACTTTGGACGTTCCAAGTTCCGAAATTCATACTCCTTTTTCGTAGCGTACGTCGTCCTTTGTTGATAGATTTATTCCGAAGCGTTTTGCTGGGGGTTTGAACATTTTTTTTTTTTTCGAGTAAGGTGGATTAGCCCCATACCTCAACCCGCGACTTGTAGGGCAAGGGTTTAATTTTGGAGTTTTCCCTCTCCTAAACAATTTGCTTTCACTGCAGCTTAAGAACATCATCCACCCTTCGTTTGTAATCCTAGACAAGAAGCTTCCAGGCTGCTATCAACCGAGCCCGTTGAACCCTGGTTTTTTTGAAGTGTTAACTCTCTTTTTAAGGAGGAGTAAATATTTTATACACTGTTTAAATACTTTTTTTTTCATTTATTTACAAGAAAATAAATGCCTAATATGACTATCTATTAGTTATGAAAATTCTAGTAACTATTATTTTTTAATTCGTTAAGGAGTGCAGTTGCATTCACTTGACTCTAGCCAAGTGTATTATCACTCTATTGTTATTTGTTATCATATAAGATTTATTTTCCTGTACAGGTGTGTAATTTTCATTGATGAATACTCTTTAAATATTTTTTAAATGTATATTTTGATCTATATTTATATTTGTTTTATTTTTTAGCGCACGTGGAACCTACTATTTGGATACTAACAGTACTCCACCATATGCAAAAGGTTAACAGGAATTTAAATTGTTATAACTCAAATGTATCAAATTGATTAAAAATTATATACTAATAAAGTGAATTTTTATTTTTATAATACGTAAGACCAATTACAAACACTATGGTGTGTTCTGTCATGAAATTTAAGCCACTAAATAAAAGAATTTGTTACATGGGATTTAAAGGCAGACTATACAGAATTTCAATGGTATCAGTTCATGCACCAGATGAAGAATAGGAAGAATCCACTAAATATGCCTTTTATGATCAATTTTAATCGTCTTCTTAGAGCTTTAATTAAACAAGGACAATTCTTAGTGACAATTTTATTGCGAAGATAGGAAGAGAAGAAGTCTACAGACACAATATCGATAATATAGTTGACATAAACACAGTAACTATAATTAAATCTTTTTATTGAAGCAACGACGTTTGATCCTAAACATTTTCATAAGCAGACCTGGGTTTCTAATGATGGGATATTAGACTGATCATATTATGATTAACGTAAGACGTGGCATTACCACTATCAATGTTAGAAGTCTACGCCATCTTAATGTAGACAGTGACCATCTTCTAGTTAGAGCCAAATTTAGACAGAAAATTCCTAATCAGAAGAACCGCAAACAAGAACTGATTCTGATATAGACTAAGGGGTCTTTAAAAGAGACCCAAAGAAATTAATGAACACCAAGCAGCATAGCAAAACAGTTTGAGATTCATATAAAATCAAAATAATGTTATCACAACATGTAAAAAGAAAAAAAAAACACGAAGAAAAGTTTTTCGAACAATTAAAGTTAATTGTTATAAGGTTGAATGTTCCAATAAATGAAATGAAAGGCAGATATCAAGCACAATTTTATTAATCAAATCTTGCCCAAGTACTTTTGCTTTCTAAAGAATCAAAATAAGCCAAGAAACGTTTCTTTTAAATGAAGAAATTGAATAACTTTGATAAAAAGCTCGAAGTTAATGGATGATAAAGTTATTTTTGTGATTAACGTTTTAGACATACTTCGTCAATTTTAGGCTATCCAACAAGCGCAGAATGTAATAAACATAAAATTGTACATAACACTATACTAAATAAATACAAACGGTTTAAAATTATTTAAAAATTAGTTAAAGCTACATTCTTGTCGGCAACAGAAGAGATAATGGTATTAACGAAAATGTTAAGGTGACATGTGATATATGACAGCTTGGATGGTCAGTCACAATCATGGAAATGTGATCTGCACATTAAAAATTATATGTAAGTAACCCATCGAGCAAAAAGACAAAAGAGGGAATCTAATCCTTATGAAAAGAAGACCAAAAAAGTGGCCTCTGATGGCGGACATATCCGGAAATGCGAATGCGCCAAATTTAAATTTTCCGACACTTATTAACAATAGCTATATAATATTTTTCAGAATGTGTCTTAGACGAGAAAGTTTCAATTAATTATTAACGATAATAGTCTAAAATGCGACACAATTGTTAAAAAACTTCAATATAAATAAGATTTCATGTGACATTTGGGACAAACAATAACATAACCCAACTAAATTTAATGTCAAACAAGGAGAGAGGCTCTCTTTCCTTGTTGAATGTGGCCTCTAAAGATCGCACTTCCTGTCTAACAATATTTTTGCCCCCACTACCTTTACATTCCCTCTTTTGTCTTTTTGCTCGATGAAGTAAACATTAACCAAAGGTCCACTGACACTACTATAGGAAATCAACTGATGAAATATGACCTATAGAATATTTTAATTTAACTATATTGCATAATCCAGGTCTCACACTTACACCTGTCTATAATAATAAGGTTGTTAGTTTAAAAGTAAATAAAGTGGACATAAAGTGTGAATGCAAGAAATAGACTAAACAATCTATTCGACAGTGGGTGGTTGACTACAATAAAATAGTCTACCAGGCACTATCAATACTGTAAACAAGAGAAGAAATCTGACTATGAAATTAAAATACTAAAAATTAAAACAAAAGTGAAAGCAGTGTATAAATCGGATTTAATTCAAGTAGTTTAGTTAAACCCCCAGTCAATGGGATAACTATAAAAATAATATGTAAAAGCGTTACTAAAGACCAACTAACCAACAGTGGAAGATGTTGAAATATGCAACTATGGAGATGGTATTCTAAATTACGCAGAATTATGGAGAGTGTCATTAACGCCAACTATATATCAACTGAACCTGAGCAAGCTAGTTTTGTAAATTGTTGAAGAATACAATAGTAATGTTGATTAAGATTTAACCCTTAACTGGTGACCCTACTTTTAATTACATAAATGGTGACCATGAGTCTGACAGACTCCTGGCCAAAAAAGCTGTTTTAGCAAAACTAGCACCTCAAAAATGCAATAAAACAGTTTTTAATAATAAAACAATATTGTAATGTCATTTTTATTTAGTAAAAAGGAAAAAGATCAAACTGTAGGACTTATAACAAAAACAGAAAAAATGCTAACATGTTTTATAACACAAAATTTTTAAAGTCATATTCCAAAAAAAATTAAACATATACAAACAAATATAATATATGTATGTTTAAAAATAGGTATCTACATTTTACATAAAAAATTGTTAAAAACAACATAATTGCAATTCTGCACAAAACCTGCAAATCACTAAAAACGTTAAAAATCTATTTTGTCCTGGTACAATTTATACAAATTTTTCGAGAACATTGCAAACACATGGGTTTTTGACAAACTGTGCATAAATATGCAGTCTTTCTTCTTAATTTGGATTGACAGATGTAGCAATATTTTCTTATTTCAAGCTTTTCCTCTTCGTTAGCCGTATTTTCGGGAATATCAAGGATACTTCCGATCAGTTCTTTCAGCTGCCTTTCTAATGTTGGCATTTCATACCTTCTATGCAAATGTGAGGAAACGAGTTCATCGGCCAGAGTTTCTATAAATTTGAATCTAGTTCAATTATTTTCGGGAATCGAAGTAAACATGATGTATGAATTTACTACACATATGTCTACTATTTTATAAAAAATAGCCATGGGCCATCTACGTGTTCTGCGGCTACAGGAATATTTTACACACTTTTCATCCATCGCGTCTACACCCCCTTTGGTCAAGTTGTAAAAAGAATTTATTTCTGGTAGTCCATTATATGCATCTACTTCTATGAAATGATGCACGGAAGAAATTAATATCACAGTTTTATTTTTCTTAGTTGTACGGGATAAAAGTGTTAGGTCTTTGGTAAATCCATACAAAGTGTCGCCTTCATTACGATTTGGTCGCGGAAGGAACTATGGAGGAATTTCTTTTTTATTTCTTAGCATTGTGCCAACGTAAGTGAGTTTATGTTGTTGTAGATGATGTACTAAATCAACTGAACTAAAACAGTTGTCAAATAATATCAAAAGAAACAATTTCAGAGGTAACTACAGCATTGGAAAACATGAAGAGAAATAAAGCTGCAGGAGAAGATAGTATTACCACAGATATGATATTAGAAGGAGGTAAGGAACTAATTGCAATTGTAACTAAGCTTGTGGACAGTTGTTTACATCAGGGCAAAGTCCCTAAGAACTGGAACAACTCTAAAGTAATCTTATTGCACAAGAAAGGTGATAGTCGAAAATTGGAAAACTACAGACCCATCAGCTTATTGTCACACCTGTTTAAAATACTCACCAAAGTCATAACTACTCGACTAACAAGGAAATTAGACGAATACCAACCATATGAACAGGCAGGTTTTAAAAAAGGCTATTCAACTTCCGATCACCTGTTAACCATAAAAATATTAATAGAAAAATGTAACGAATACAAGTTTCCAGTTTTCCTTGCATTTGTAGACTACGAAAAAGCTTTCGATACCATAGAACACACGGCCGTAATAAACGCAATGCAAAATTGTAGAATAGACAGCAGATATATTAACTTAATAAAAGAAACTATGAACCAAGCTACAGCTACATACTACCTAAATGAAAATGAACACACGAACCCTGTACCATTAAACAGAGGAGTCAAACAGGGAGATACTTTATCACCCAAACTGTTCACCTTAGTTTTGGAGGACGTTTTTAAAAACCTAAATTGGAAATATAAGGGAATAAACATTAATGGCCGCTACCTCAGTAATCTACGATTTGCAGATGACATAATCCTGATAGCTACTGACCTACAAGAAATGCAAACCATGCTTGTAGAACTTCATACCGAATCTTCTAAAATAGGACTGAAAATGAATTTAAACAAAACAAAAGTCATGCACTCCGAAGACACCGTGACAATAATAAACGATAAAGTTATAGAAAAAGTTAAAGAATATATATACTTGGGACAAAAAATAATCCTAAATAGGGAAATTCAGACTGAAGAAATAAAAAGAAGAAGAAAGTTAGCTTGGGCAGCATTCGGTAAACTGAACTATATACTCAGAAATCAACAAATTCAATTACATCCTAGATCTAAAGTTTTTGATGCATGCATTATTCCGATATTAACTTATGCGGCACAAACATGGACAATCACAAAAAAGAATATGAATATACTTAGAGTCACTCAACACGCGATGGAAAGAGCAATGCTAGGTATATCACTTAAGGACAAGAAAACAAACACATGGATAAGACAAAAACCAAAGTCACCGATGTGGTGCAAAAAGCATTAAAGCTGGAATGGGAATACGCTGGACATGTAGCTAGGAGCGATCTAAACAAATGGCACAGATGAATTTTAACCTGGAGACCATACCAACACAAAAGACTCAGAGGCAGACCTCCTATGAGATGGACAGATGATCTGAAAAGGACTGCGGGGAAAAATTGGCTACAAGTAGCGTACAATAAAAAACAATGGAAAGGAAGACTTGAAGAGGCTTATGTTCAGATGTGGACGTGAATGGCTAGACGAAGAAGAAGAAGAAGAAGAAACCAGTTGTCGCCAGTTACATTTCTATTAGTATTGTAAAGATGTTTGACTAATCTTATAACTGCTTGAGTAGGTATGCTCATTCTTCTTTCTTCATTAGTGAGGCTAAATCCATCTGAACGTTTTTCAGCATAAATGTAAGCATTATGTAAATAC